AGTCAGGGGGATCACTTGAGGCAGAAGTTTAAGACCATATGGTGAAACCCTGTCTCTACTAAAAATGAAAAAAAAAAAAAAAAAAAAACCTGGCATGGTACCACCCACCTGTATTCCCAGCTACTTGGGAGGCTGAGGAAATCATTTGTACCTGGGAGGTAGAGGTTGTAGTGAGCCAAAATAATGCCATTGCACTCCAGCGTGGGCAACAGAGTGAGTCTCTTTCTCCATAAGAAAGAAATTGTTGAGCAGTGTCTGGCATAGAGTAAGCTTGAATATTTCCTGGGCAGAGTATTGTGCTCTGCGCTCAGAATATTATCACTTCCAGAAATGTGAGAGGAGATAGCTTAGCATAATGGTTAGGACATTGGAATTAGGCTGTTTTGATCTGAATCCTTGCTTTGCCAGTTGGTAGCTGTGTGAGTTTTGGCAATGTGCTCAATGTCTCTATACCTCAATTTTTTTTCATATATAAAATAGGAGATTAATGCTTTGATATATTTGGTGTAGGGGTTTAAATACATAATAAAGGTAAAGTTACATATCAGTGCCTGTCTCATAGGATGTGTTCAATAAATAGAAGTTGATGCATAACTTTAATGTAGCATGTGAGTGCCTAATAATCAAATCATTCAAGAGTTATGTGAACCTGGAAAAAATGTAAATTGCCTGCAGAGCTGGGCAAAGCTATAAGGCTGTGCCATGGTGCTGATCATTTAGGATGGGTAAGATTTCCAGGCAAAAAGGAAAAGAATATTCCAAACTGCAGAAAGAGTTAGCTGAACAAAATAGTTTGGTGTGTCTATATCCCAGTATTCAAGGAAGAGAATGGTAGGAACATATATTCTATTTCCTTAAGCATGATTGAAGCTGAAGTCCCTCCATGTAGAAGTAAATTACATGTTCAGAAGAGATATCTTGGTTTGGACATTTGACTTGTCTCATAAAACATGGTGAATTGTTTGTATGTTTGAGTCACCTAACTTATCATAACACCTTAAAATCTGGGACCATGACTTGGCCACTTGTATATCCACAACAGTACCCAGGCCAAGTATTGGGAATACAGCAATTGATAAATTTTCGTAGTGAGAGTGAGTGGACTGATGAATCAATATATATTCATTTTGAAGACTATATAGGCAATAATTTTCTATGGTGGGAGAGGGTTAGAAGATACTTAGTTCTGACCTCACTACGTATTCCTCACATACCTCATTTCAGTAGATCTTTAGAAGGAAAAGCAGTGGATTCAAGATTCCATGTTACTGCCTGGGTATTGCGATGTGCTAAGAGCCACCTACCAGTGCTTCCAAGGTTGGCCTCCCGATTAAGGTATTTTCATTTTTTATTGAGTTGAAGCTCAATAAAAAGTGAATATACCTTAATCGGGAGGCCATCCTTGGGTGCACTGGTAGGGGAATAGAGATATGAGACAGAGAAGAGAGGGAGACCAAAAAGGTTGTGATTATGAAGTTACCACCATATGAAACTTTGCTTCTGTCCCACTGGTGACCTCTTAGGGAGAGTGCAGAGTAAGCCTCAGGTTTATCGCACCTGATGGGTCAGGAAGCTACAGTATTTATCTACCAATTTATGTCAGCCTTGATGAGGCTGCTTCAGGAGGTGTTAACTCTGTAGCACTCTAGCCTGTCCAGTATGGAAGACAAATGTGCTGCACACATTCAGGGAAAACTTTGAGGCAGAGTTGCAGAGGATTGTATTAGGAGGCCATATGCTGAAGGGATATGGATATTTTCTCTGCTATTGTCCACACCTTGCTCACTCAGGTTCATCCCCACTGCATGCTGAGTTCACTCTGTCCCTTCACTGATTTTCTGAGGAAGTCACTGGCCACAATTCCATGTAGACAAAAAGACAGAGACAGTTAAGAATACTAACACGAAGGTTGGTGGGATAAGCTACATTTTCCAGTGTTACAGTTAATCCTGAGACCATAAGTGATGCCATAATTAATATTCATCATTTCCCTCCCCTAACATTTTCATTCCCTTAACCAAACTGCTTCTAATCAAGGTTCATTTCATAGTGCAATAACTCAGACATCTATCCCTGAGAGTATGAGTCCCTGACTTCTTGTCCTTATCAAGATGTTGCTGCTGCAACTGCCCTTTCAGATATCACCAGGCATGGGGGCATCAAGCGGCACTGCAGTGAATCCCATGAGTTCCTGACAACACTACTTTCTGCTCCGCTATGTAGTAGCAAGCCCATTTCCTTTTGATCATTACGGTGAATAACCCTTGCCTGTATAGTAACTACTTCTCTAACTGCTGGTCTATAGGCCTGAGGAGCCAAAAATAATCAGACCGCAGCTGAAGCTAAAGATTTATTGTGACCCTTACTGTGTTTTCTGGTAGGAGTATTAAGATCTCTAATTATGGACAACCTCAAGTTGAGGCAAGGAGAAACTCATTTTCTTAGGTGGATGATTAAAAGTGAGAAGCTGTACTCCTACTTCCATCTTTTGGTCCTAGCTGTCTAAGACACAGAATCAAATATATTAGCACCATTTAATAGCCTACCACATAATGACCCTTAACCATGGAGGAAAACATTCCCATAAAAACACAGCAACATCTCTATAATCCCAAGCCTGGTCAATAGAGGCAGTCACTCCTGAGCTTCTCATTGATGCTGGTATCCCTCTTTCGGGAACGCTTCCTGCTTTAGTAAAGTGATTGTCTTCTAGGCTTTCCTGGAGAACATGATCAGCCGGCAGGTTCTCCAGCCTTTCAAAATAAGTATATTCTAACATTCCCAATTCTATGAGATCATGGATCTCTTCTCCAGTATTTTGCCAAAGTAGTTCTGGCATGTCTACACCATTTATTTCAGGCTGGTATCATTTTTAAGCTTCAAGGAACCAAGCCATTCTAATAGCATATCAGGATCAACACCAGGTAGACTTGCTAGAATGTTAAAAAATTAACTCATGAAAACATTCCCTCATATAAATATAGTATCTACTATCTGGCCTTATCTCCATGATCCACTATCTCAGTATCTCAAGACCAATTCTTTGGAATGTTCTCTATTGCTCCTAATATTTACTAGCCAGATTCTGTAGTTCATCTGATGAATAATTCATTTCATCCTGCAACACAGATCATCCTTTTCCACTCAAATCATGCTGAGACTTAGCCATAGCTATTTGTCCAGAAGCAATGAGGGGAAGTGGGGGCAGAACTTACTATGGGCAACCCTCACCTTAAAACTTCCTACTGAGGTGGGGCTTTTATGTAGCAATTAACTGTTCTCCCACTGAAAAGAGTAAAAGCCCTCTTTTTCTAGGTCAGAGTTTCAGAAGAATTTGTGGGTTCAAAACTCTTAGGGATATGTACCCACATATCTCATCCTTTATCTCAGAATCCTGCTACTTTCCTATGAGGGTCTTGACTTTAGTAGAGAAAACTTGGTAGCTCTGTCAACTTGGTATCTTTTACAACTCTGCGTCTCTTAAAATCAAATCTTTGGCATAATTTTCAGCACAGTCTATCTCGTAGCTGAAGGAAATGAGAGTCATTGTGATTGTTGCTTGGAGCTGTTTAGTTTTCACATCGCATCCAAATTAAACGTTGGTTGATCTGAGCCCATGTTTTTAATGCAGCCTTCCTATGGCCATTAACTCCACAACCTCATATCTTTCAAACACACAAGTAACTGCATTTCCCTCCATCTATATTCTATCTACCTGATGACAACCTTTGTAAGTATGGCACTACACCTTGCCAGAGATTAGCTCTACTCCATTTTCCACCAGCAAGAGTCCCTGCTATCACCTGAAAGGTGAATGATTCAATTCAGAAAGCTGATACTAAGGATCTGTTTTGAAGGTCCATCTCTGTGCCAAATAATTTAGGTTGGGCTACCTCATAAGGAGACCCCAAGGATTTCTGTGAAAGTAGTTTATTTAGGAAGTGAAGCCAAGAAGCACCAGTAGAGGAAAATGGAGAAGTGAGGGAAGGAAAAGAAGTCAATAAATAGTGAGTCAACTGAGAAGGATACCTGTGGGAACCAGGAGCTTAATCCCACTAGGGACCTCTGAGAGACTGCACAGAGCATGTCTTGGAATTGTCCTTCCTGAGAGACAAGGAAGCTAGGGTATTTATTCCCCAATCCTTGCTAGCAGTACTTCAGAGCTTCTCCTAGAGACATGAACTTCCTGGTACTTCTGGGATGCCATCCTGCCTCATGGGAAAACTGCTCCCAAGGCCAGAGACTGCCCTCGGGGAAAGGATCACAAACATTTACAAGAGGATGCCACAAGGTCGGTGCTTAAGGAAACACTGAATGTCACAAGAATATGGGTAGGACATCAAAACACATCCTTTACAAAACATATGACTCTTGCACTGGGCGCAGTGGCTCACGCCTGTAATCCCAGCACTTTGAGAAGCCTAGGTAGGCAGATCACGAAGTCAAGAGATTGAGACCATCTTGGACAACAGGGTGAAACCCCATCTCTACTAAAAATACAAAAATTAGCAGGGCATGGTGGCAGGTGCCTGTAGTCCCAGCTACTTGGGAGGCTGAGGCAGGATAACTGCTTGAACACAGGAGGCGGAGGTTTCAGTCAGCCGAGATCATGCCACTGCACTCCAGCCTGGGTAACAGAGCAAGACTCCATCTCAAAAAACAAACAAACAAAAAAAATGACTCCTGTCAGTGTATTACAAAAATTGATATAAAATAATGACATTAAAAAATAATAGCTACCTGCATATATCAGCACCACAGCCATTATGTAAAGTAAGGTGTCACAATGCACGTTTTGTTGTTTCTTTTTATGTTGATTAATCTGGCACCTTTTTTGATCAGAATGTATGAGGACATATTCCTCTGATTAACCAAAAGAAATGTATATACACTGTATACTCTCTGGCCTATATGTGAATATGAACAGTAAATGCAGATGGCATAGACACATCCCAGTTTTAATAGTGCCCAGCAGTTTATTTAAGCATACATTTCTGATCTCCTTCTTTAAATAAGATTTTAGAAATGGATCTTGAGAACCTTGTTTACTTTGTCAAAAAAAAAAATACCCTTCACAATAGTAAGAAACTTAAAGCACTTTCATAAATAGGGAAACAGCAACTTTTAATGTTTTATTGTTCGCTTGTGAAATATATATATATATATATATATATAATATATATATATTACATGTATAGAAGAACCCCACATCTGAGTCAGAGAAAGCTAACAGCAAGGCACATACGAAGGCATGTGTTTTCATACAATTTTCATTAAGCGAACATTCAGGTCATAGCAAGTGACAGTTAAGACAAGGAACATAGAGCACACCTGTGTTCATGACTCCAAGGCAACTCTTAGGTCTGCCAAGAATGGAGGTCATCTTGGTACAAAATAACACATTTATTTAATAGGCCTGTCAGACCATCAGAAAATATATTGAAATCTGGACAAAGACACCAGGGAAAGGCGAAAGCCAATGCTTAACTTGACAGCTAGTTTGCTCTTCTGCCCTTTCATTTTAAGACCTGAGGCCTTTGCTGATTAAAATAAGCAAATAACAGGGCTGACTGCAGCCCTGCAGAATTTTGGTCAGCTACATGACAGAAGTTTGTAACACGCTAAATACTTTTGAAAGCTTGTAAACACTGTGATGATGAGGAGGAAAGCATAAAGAGAACATTTGCTAATTCTCTCTCATTGAAAAGGTAGAGGCATAGATCTCTGGCTTGCCACATGTGGTTTCTCTATCCTGACGTTTACTCAAAAAGTTACAGGCACAATTCATGGGATGATGATGTCATTCCTATCAGACACCAGAAAAGGCGCCTACTAGGATTTGGCACAGCCAGAGCAGCTGGCAACCTTGGCTGATGTGAGATGAGGCTTCACGACGTCCGGCTCAATAGACTCCATTAGGTCACACTCATTTGCAAGTATGTGTTTCACCAGGCATCTGGAGGCTTCATCAATGTTTATATTTTCCTATGAGGGAAAAAATAAAACAGCTTTTCTTATTCAGTACTCTGAAATAATGCTAGAGCAGAGACTTATATGTGATAATTCACTTAAATATTGCCTCCTATATGTGACATGTACATCTCCTCCTGTTCCCCTCACTCTTACTTGTTCCTTCAAAGAACTTTACTTTTTGGTTCCTCACAAAAGAAGTATTTATTTATTTTGCTGTGTCATATAAGAGGAATAGGGTTTGGTGAATTTATTTAGTAGGTTAAATTTCAGTTAGAAGGCAATTTTCTTACTTTCACATTGTCACGTACTCAAACGATAATATTGTTGAAGAAACATAAGCCTTTAATCTGACTTAGATGTATAATTGCCTTCTGCTACATACTATTTTTGTGACCTTGATTTAAAATAAGAATGACAAGACATCTTTTATTGCATTCCTTAATGGTTTCACAAATATTTTTGGGTCTCTGTCCTCCAGTTAAATGGGGAAGAGTGCTCTGTTCTGACCACTTTGAACTTAGGCGTGGACAAGTGACTTTCTGGCCATCAAAATGTGATAAGTAATGTGTGTCACTTTCATACAGAAGCAATAAGAGCCAGTACTCAATTTCCCATGTTTTTTCTCTCTGTGTCTTCTTGTGCAAGCACAGCAATGCAAACTCTTTCGGGTAAGGTCTGTGAGTGAGAATCAAGGAGAGGTAAGTATCCTAACCAGCCCATGCTGTGTCATGTGCATGAGAATGATGACCTTGTTATTTTAACCTGCCAAAATTTGGGGGTTTTACCCCAAATAAACCCTGAAATTACCTAGACATTCCAGATGGATATAACTTTTCAAAGAAAAAAGTAAAATTGGAAATATAAGTTTAGTTTCAAAAACTAAACTTGAATTTGGAAAACATATGGAACAAGCATTTGAATCTAAAATATATCAGTAGTATAAGTAAAAATGATTTTTTTTCCTGCTGGTTAGGAACCTGAGAAATACAGAATATATGCTACCAGTGTACTAAAATAAATATCTTTGCTTAGTTTAAAAGTGGTTAAATGACGATCTCTAGTAAAGTTAAATTTGATTGTTTCTAATCACAATTTGTAGAACTTATCTGATATATTTCTTCATATTTAATGTAAAGAAACAAGACTTTCTCATTGTTAAACTGTTTTACTACAGAACCTTGTTGTCCAATCTGAAGTGGAAGTACTTATCCCTCAGTTTTGAAGGTATGTCAAAGTTGTTGATATATTTTGAGATCATCGAATGAAGTCATATTACTTGGAAAATATAAGAAGTAGTGTTGATTTCCAAATGGCATCCATGACTAATGACCTTAGTTGTAAATGTTCATTAGCAGGTTCTCCATCCTTCAAGCCTGACACTGAGTTGACCAGCTATGAAAGCTTAAGGTAACTTTGGAGTTGCAGACAAATAGCCTGATTATTTAACTGTAGAGAGCCTTAAAGAAAATGCTTCCTAGGGTTCCTAAATCCAAAACACAAGGTAAAGTCATGGTTGCCTTTTTGCTTATTAAATTATTGTTGTTGCTTTTTACCAGACCAGTCTTCATTTCTCTAAGCCTCCCTTTCCTCAACTGTAAAATGGTCTTCATGATAATACTTACCTAATAAAAATTTGCTTCCCTTGACAGAGTGTAGCAGACATTAGTGCTTTCACAGTGTGAACTTGCTAGGGACTTCAATAGTAAATAAGTAATCTTATTTAATCCTATTTAAAACCCTGTAAGATAAAAATTAGTTTTTTGTCCTTATGATTTGTTGCTATTGTTGGGGTAGGGTTGGGGATGGCATTTCTTCCTTCAGCTCAAGTATCTTCTTCACTCCATAGAATCTAGTCCTGAGAGAAGAGCAATACTTCTGCCCCATCGACTGTTGGGCAACTTCCTGCGCCTTAAAGTCATTGCCTGTGCTTAGCATGCCTTCTGCCACTCTTCTTCTTCCTAGTGTCATGTCCAAGGGTTACACTTGAGCTCCCTGCTCCCAGGCAACCAGTGACCTAGGCAAGGCCTTGCTCTTTGGAACAGACCCAGCTCAACACTTTTCTCTGGAGCCCTGCCACTTGCTATGTGACTGAGTGGAGGCCTGTCCAGTGAATGGTCCCCTACTCTCTCCCATTCAGGAAGGTAAAAATGGGTCACCTCGCCCAGCCTTCCAGGTCTTTGCCTTAAGGACCACCACATGTCATTAAAGAAGCCCTATTTGGATGGTTTTACGGTACTTGTCTGGCGACTCATAAGCCAATACTTTGATTCCCATTTGACTATTGCTTGTGTGTAGGAGAAGGAGGCAACAAAATTCTACCCCAAATACCAAACATGAGATATTGCCATATATGTTTATAGACAAGAAAGCTTATCTGTAAGGGGTTAAGAGGCTTCAGCAAGATCACACAGCAAGGAGGTTGGGAGGCCAGAGTTTATAGTGGGTCTTTCTGACATCAAAGCCCGACTTTTGCTAAGCTGCATTCCTTTTCCAGATTGTTCAAAAAATCAGGAACAATCACAAATAAAAGTTAGTTCTTTAGTGTTAGACCCAGTAAGTGTTAAATAGATGCTAGTTTCTTTCTCTTCCATACATTATAATAAAAACATATTTATATGACAGAAAAAAAAACATTTAAACATTAGAAAGGGCCCTTCTTCATATATGATGAAAGTTAGATTTGCCAGTAGTATTTTTTAAACCTCTACTCATATATTAACATGCCAGTTAAATAGGGTTTTCCTTCATTAATTGGCAAATTGGCAAAATCTACTAATGAGGAGAATTCAATGCTAGTATGGAAAAATCAAAGAAAATCCTTTATCATTATGAGAAGAAGAACTAAGATCTAAGCACAAATTAGTGGCAACTTAGCAGGGTCATTTTAGTAAAAGTATAAGATGATGCTGTTTAAATTGTGAGTTTTAACACACCAAGTAAAGTCTAGATGGTATTAGGCCTAGGAGAGCAGACCATGAAAGATGGGCTCTAGAGAAAGGAAACAGGCTTAGACTGCATATACGAAGAGTAGCAGTTCATGGTGACTGAGTCAGGTTCATTCATCCAATTAAGAGTATTTAGATTCCCACTAAGTACTAGGCATACACATATAAAGATGATACTCATTCCTGACTGAGCTTACCCACTAGCTGGGTTTATGTAAATAGCAAAAGCATAAAAAGGTTGGAAAGGGCACCTGGGTGCCAGATCCCTGTAGAGCCTTGAATACTAAATTTGCCAAGTAGAGCCATTGAGGGTTTTTGCAGGTGAAATGTCAATAACCACAATACTATAAAAGTCCATTACTAGACAAGAGTGTACCAATCCTCAGCACTTTAGCAACCTATCAGTAAGTATTTAGTGAATACCTATCATATGTACCAAGGTGCTGGCTGTTGTGGGGTACCTATTTCACATTAGAAATTCTAAGAGAAAGCGAGAAGGAACCACAAATGCTTTCCACTATATTTACCACAAGCACACTACAAAAAGACAAGGGGTATAGTGTTTAGATTACAGGCCTGGAGACAAACCCTCATCTCATTTCCCTGCGTTCTGGTTGGATGACCTCAGGAAAGTTATTTTAACCACTTCATACCTCAGTTTTCTCATCTGTAAGAGAATTAAAAATTTACTTCAGAACTGATTGTAGAACAGTGAAGGGCATACAGTATACACTCAATAAATGCTATCTGTATATTCCCCTCATATAATTTAATCATCAGAAGAATACAATGTGTGTTTTCCATTCCTTCATTTTGCAGTGGTGGATCCTGAGGTTCAGAAAGGGAAAGTGACTCACCCCAAGTCACCCCCTAGTAATTGGGATGGCCAGCTGTGAGCTCAGGGAGAATAATAAATACAGGTATTTACCATGTGTTATATCTATACTGCAAGATGTATACTGTTTAAAGCACAAACTTGAAGCCAAACCTTATCTCACCTCCCCCAAAATATTTCCCAGAATAAAAAAAGGAACAGAATGAGCAGAGCACCTGGTTCCAGCATGCAAGGCAGGAGCACGCAACTAGGTATCAGCAAAGCTGATTTTATCACTGGTATACTTCCAACCACGTCTGGTCTTTCTAACTTTCTATACACCATTGAGTTCACAGCCAAAGGGCCTATACTAGGAGAAGAAATAACAATATAAAACAATATAAAACCTCTCTCTCCCCCTTAACCCAAGGTCAGCATGGATAATCAGATCCTGCCTGACAGAACCGCAGGTTCAGACCCTTTGGGTAATTAGATTGTAATATAATTGATTGAGTTACTTGGCATCCAAATAGACACAGTCAGGCCCACATTTTCTGGGTGATTGTAGAGACACAGAGTTGGTGGCTCAAGTGAAAAACACTACATGGAAATTTTTATTTGCATTTATTATAGGGAGTAGTCACAACATCTCCAGGAGCATCTATTGCTGAAAGGAAATGTATATACTCTGTGACTTCCAGGACATGTACGTTAGGACTGAATCTCACTGCGATTTATTTCTATATCTGCAGTATGACAAGATGGTGTATTGTGCTGAATGCTTTAAGGTGATGTATGTTCTTTTTAATGCCACTGCTCAGAATCTTTTGTTTATACTGATAAGCAAGTCTCAGAAACACGCTTAAAATTCCTAACAAAGAATTTTTCTAAAAACAAATGGAGTTAATTAAGCAGGTGCTTTATTTATGAAATAATGCTCACATTCAATATTCACAAACATCTATGGACAGTTAATAGTCATATTTTAAAGGTAAGGGAGCTAGGAAAAAGCTTAAGTCACTTATCCAGAGCATAACGTAATCTTAGCCAATCTGTCATTTCAACCAAGACTATCCCAATCCCAGTTCCCATCCTACTCCCAACACATAACATTACAATGTCTCCCAGAATTAAAATAGATTCTAGAACATTATTTATAAATTATACCTTCTCGATTCTAGCTGTATATTCATATCCCTTATAGCGTTAAAACAAATATGCTACCAGGTCCCTCCTTCCAGACATTAATCTAA